CATTATTATTGATTAAAATTCTTTGTTTACATTAGGATTCACTTTAATGTGTTTTATAGTTCTGTGGGTTTTTAAAATTGTATAATGTTATATATCCATCATTACACAGTGTCATATAGAATAGTTTCACTGTCCCAAAAATCACATGTGCTTGGTTTGTTTGTGTGTGTGTCTCTCTCTCTCTCTCTCTCTCTCCCCCTTCGTCCCTCCCTCCCCACACACAGACCCCTCTCCACCAAAATCCCTGGGAACCATTGATCTCTTGATTGTCTTTATAGTTCTACTCTTTCCAGAAAGTCATATAGTTGGAATCATAGTATGGGTAGCCTTTTCAGACTGGCTCCTTCCACTTAATGGTAAGGTTCTCTTCTTCTGGCACAGTACCTCATTTATTTATGGTTCTGAATGATATTTCATTGTATATGTGTGCCATGATTTGTTCATCCATTCATCTGCAGGAGGTCATTTTGGTGACTTCCAAGTTTTAGCAGTTATGAATAAGGTTACTGTAGACATTCACGTGCAGGTTTTTTTGTTTGTTTTAAATAGAGAGTCTTATTCTTTCATCCATGCTGGAGTGCAGTGGCACAATCCTGGCTCACTGAAGCCCTGACTCCTGGACTCAGGCAATCCTCCCACCTCGTCCTCCATAGTAGCTGGGACTACAGGTGCATGCAACCGTGGCTGGATAATTTTTTGTTGTTGTTGTAAAGATCAGGTTTCACTGTGTTGCCAACCCCAGTCTGGAGCTCCTGGGATCAAGTGATCCTCCTTCCTTAGCCTCCCAAAGTGCTGGGATTACAGGCATAAGCCACCACTCCCAACCAGGTTTTTATGCAGACATAAGTTTTCAACTAATTTGGCTGGATTGTATAATGAGACTAATTTTAGCTTTGTGGGAAAGTGCCAAATTATCTTTCAAAGTAGCTGTACTGCTTTGCATTCCTACCACCAGTGAATGAGAGCTTCTGTTGTTCCACATCCTTGGCAGTGTTCAGTGTTGTCAATATTTTAGATTTTAACCCTTCTTTTTTTTTTTT